ACCCGATGTCTTCACTCGCTGGCAAATCTCACGAGTCTTCACATGCTTGTGCACCTACTTATACATGCGTGGCCAATACTTATTCGCGGAAGACCGAGAAGCAATCTCACACAACCGAGATGGCGACCCGGAGGGCTGTCATAGTACTTATGTAAGAGACGATGACGCTAACCTTCAGCACTAAGATTAATAACCCTAGCTAAATCTCCGTATTTAGCTGCATAGTACAGCAGTCTATTCTGTTTTCCAAATCGATGAACACGCAATCTTTTGCAAGACGGAAGACCTTGCAGTGCGTTGTCAGAAGGGTACCTCAACAAGACCTGACAATACCTCATCAGACTTTTACCCTTCAACAAAAACTTCGACAACACTGTACCCGTAGCATGCACGCTAGTCGTCTGAACATCTTCGCATTGTCGACATGACTCGTGCATGTCTTTGTTCCTGGACTTTGAGTCATAGTCCGGACATCTTGGCAAAGCATCGGTAAGTTGTCCATTTTGCCTGGCTTGTAGTGCCATTCTCTGCGATGTGTGACGAGCCTTTACTGCTGTACGCAGCGAGTCGTGATCTGTATAGATCGCAAAGCGCTTCTTTGCGAGCAAGTACACGCAGAGCTTGACCAAAGGTTACATCATCACCAGAAGCTCGTTGTCATGAACTGGGGAGTTTCGTTCCGCGGACCGAAGTCGTCGCGACTGGAACGAAACAGTTCGCTCTCGAACCTCATCATTGTGGTGCATCACACGTAGAATCGAGGCATTATCACTAGCACCGCTGACCACATGGAAAGGTTTATCGTGGTTTGCAACAGCAAAAACAGGAGCGAAATGCACACTCTTCTTCACTTCGGCATATACTACCTGGTGATCTTTTGACCATTCCCACTCAACTATTTTAACTGTCAGGGGTCGCACTAACGCTGTATAATTGCACGTGTAATTGTGCAAATAGTTGTCCAAGCCTATTCATTGTCTTGGCTGTTTCACATTGCCGGCACCGGCCAATCATAGGTAACTTTGACTTTCTCCAATTATAAACGACCGCGATTCTTGCCCACAAAGCGACCTAGGGCGGGGAAAGCATGTGCAAGAAAGTGCACTGTTTCAGGTTAGGGATAGCTATTCTTTCGCATAACTTGGAACACTCGACTAACATGATGAAGATTAACACTAACATCAGACTTCTTACCCGTTTTCTGCCTATGAAAGAATATGTCATCAAAGGCGTTCGGCGCAAACTTCTATAAATGGGTTAAAATGATTTGTGCCCGTTCTATTGAAATTCTTGGGAGCGCTTTCTAAACCTGGTGGCATCTCAAGCCGTTCCCACAGCATAGATCTGTGAGTTCTGACTACGGTAAATGGTGTATCATTATCGTGCATTCGTATCTGATAAAGACCATTTTTCAGATCATTCGCACTGACAATAGTACTACCAACCATTCAATCAAGGATCGTGTGCTTGCGTGTGACCGAAGCCTGAGCAGGCATGGTCATGTATATTTTTTGAAAGCGTAAACAATGCGCCGAACACCTTTGGCTTTCTTCAGACATAATTAACTACAACGCGGAGACTTGCTCTCAATCAAAAAAAAGTCATAGTTATTGACGAGTTCTCCGCAAAGAATTCGTCAATAAGTAGGACTTGTTTTTTGGCAACGACCACTGCCGTGTGACACAACACTTCGTTCCAGTAAGTATTTCAATCTCATGACGAATGCCTTCAGGTGGTGATTCGTCCATCTCCTAGTCTGGGAATATCCTTGATAAGTCCATTGTAACGGGATTCTACGTACCCTGGTATGAAGGGGTAGGTCACACAAGATGGTGTGACCATGCAAAGGTGTAAATTACACAAGACGGTGTAATTACACAATGGTGTGGCTACAGCTTTACAAGAAGTCAGTTCGTGGTTGGTAATTAAACATCCTATAGATTTAGATATAGGCGGCTTTGCCTCAAATGAATCAAGAGATTCAACTTACATTTTGAGCAAAAGAGTTTAGTTGCCTTGGGTTAAGGTTGTGGAGTAAGCGGATTGCGACCCGCTACACTCCTACTGGTTCTAAGTATAGAACGAAGGCCACCGACCTTAGCTTAGCTTCCTCTAAGCGAAAGAGCTACGTCAGCTCCGCTGCACTTGATAGCACTTGTATACCTGTATCGTTACGACTTATCCTCTGCAAGTTAGGAGTGTTATCCTATTTGCCCCAGGGCATAAAGGACGGGCTTGCAAAGCTGATATCTCTGCTTGGCACGGAGAGCGTGCAGCTCATCGCTTCGCAAGGACCTGAAGGGATCAGCGCGTGCCTAAAACCGTTCTCGAGCTCTGAAAAATGCTCTGCTAGAGCACCTAGCAGAGTATTTTTAGAGCAAAAGATGTCAGCGACGAGTGCGTCCATAATGCCACCGCCGACGGATGACTCCTCCCAACCTAAGCCGCGCATGGTGTGCGTTAAGACCTTCGACGGCAAGGATGGATATAATCTCCTGCACTATGTGAGAGAGGGCGAGATGGCTATGGCATCTGCCATGCTCCAGACCGAGCAACAGCGCGTGGCGCCAGCTATCTCCAAGCTCGGGGATCGAGCGCGAGAATGGGCACTGACGTGCGGCACTTCGGTTGAAGTGGGGACTCCTTCTGGAAGGAGCTGAAGCGTCAGCTGTTGCGAGTGTACTCGCCGCCTAACCAGGCATATCGCGCGCGATTGCGTTTTCTTGACGAGGCAGTGTCCCAAGCTGTCAATGTCGACAAACTTTGCTTAAAAGATATAACCTTCCCTTCGACAAATTTACTGATGACCCATCGCAGAACACACGAATATCGTATCCGTAAATGACATGCTCAATGCTTTCGCATATAATCTCATGTTTCGATAGTTGCGCGCCGTGCAATACTACACAAATTTTCACGGCTCCAAAAAGAATAGATCTTCAAGCTACCAACATTTTGGCTGTGAGTCCGACCACGTTAAGCGATAATCGCAATTTTTCGGGCTAGTTCCACTGATCACGGCCTCTAGGGAGGCCACTTTGTTTCCGGTAGGCAGACTTGCGCCATCTTGGACTCGACGTTCTCCCGCGAGGGGCTAGTTGCCCGCTCTTACCAACCCCTTAATGCCTCCCCGCCGAAAGTGAAGGGGACTACAAGGCGCAGATAATTTGTGCTACCGCGGATGAAGCTTCTGCAAATATCGCGGAGCTGCTCAACAGCTAAAAGTTTTCTTTCTCCATCGTGGCGGAGGCTAATCGCCTTTGGTACGCTCGTGAACCTTACATTCCCATAACCTATCCTGTCCCCGAAGTACGAAATGTTTGTTTCGCAGTGTATGCAGCGCTCACCATTCACTTGAGAAAGGAAGGGCGGACTCGGAAGGTCTCGATACGAGCCACACCCGTTTGGATGCCTTTCGTGAGGATGGTGGCCGTTTTTGCCCTTGATAGAAGAACCAGCCGCCATCGCGAGGTTAGAATTCACAATTCAAAAGCATGATCCGCTAGGTCCCCTCTTTTTCGACGCATTCGACACGCCTGTTTAGGTGGTGATCTTTTTTGCCCTTGATGAAAAACCAGCCTCCATCGCGAAGATTAGAGTCCACATCTCATGGGTATAATCTGCCAGTTCCCGCCTCTCTCGACGCGCCCGACATGCCACGTAATGTGGTGCGAGCACATGCGACATCTGTCGCTAAAATTGTTCCACGTTGAAAACGGCTCTTTCACTAAGGCAGTGTTTGTTAGTGCCCATTCTTGTGCGTGCCATTCTAAATTGGAAATGGCATGTGCGACTCACTGTTGCTACATCTGAAGCATGGCAGAGCTCATAGCCACCTCGACTCACCGTCCCGGTCTTCAATGTGCAGAAGTCTCAGCATCAGCGGCCTGACGGTGGGTAGCGTCTGTTCTTTCCGCCAAAACCCGACTGGGGCGCTATTGAAGGTGTCTCACCAGCGCACTTTAACAGCTGATAAGTGCCGTCAAGCACGCAATTACCGCTTTCGGTTCTTTGGCCACCAATTCCTAATCCGGTCGAAACCAATATTGGACATAAGCTTATTAGGCTGTGCTAGCTGTCATGGGGACAAAAATTGGGCTCTTTGTGCTTCGTCCTCGCAGGGTGCGCATTCCTTCCACGACTCGGTCGTGGGATTGACTATGAGTACTACCTTGACCAATGGTTTTGCCGAACGCTTTGCGTGGCGAGAGTCTCTGATAGTCTGATCTGATCAAACCTGGGGTATAAGATAACTGACGCTGATAAATTTCCTTATATAATACGTTTTACTAGCTCTCATTATAAAATGCCTTTATCACCTGTAGTGCGCTAGCAGCCAGCTTATGCCATGGACTTCTATATTATATAGTTTCATCGTCTCCCTCGATTTCGATTCTTCGGACAGATGAATATTCACAATCACACCAAAGTACCTACTCATTGCTTTGATACATTCGTACCAAAATTGCAAGACGAGATTGCAAGACTTACCCCGCGGTCGCTTTAAGTTCGACGGACAATAGAGTGCTGTGTCGTAAACCATAAAAGGGTATGCAAGCAGTCTTGCTTGTTTGTAGTCTCTCTTATTTGCGCGTTATTTACAGCCAACAGTGGCTAAAGCCTTTTTATCAAAAGGACTTTTCTTACTTTGACTTGGCAAGCAAATTACATGGCACTTTGATCGCGAGGAGTATATACATTAATTACGCTTGTAAGCATAAACCGCTCCATATACGATCTTAACGAGATTGATATTGTTACATTAACGCTATCAAGCCCTATTGATCATTCAAATTGCGAAGCGAATCGATCTCTTCACAGTTTTCGCAGAAGGCAAAACATGACCAAACCTGACTTATCAAACTGCATCATTTTGTAATTTGGCGAACTCATTTTAGCTTAATTTTATTAATATTGCCCCTAAAATTGCTTCAGCTTCCGTAGTCATGCAGTTAATAACCGGCATATTATCTTTGACGGGTAGATAGTACATTGTACGTCTATTCACTATCTTGTTCATCCTCGCTCTCATCATTTCGCCCCAAAGCTGATAAATAACATTCAATGGCCTCGTCGTGTCGACCGCGCTTGTGCAAAATTCTCCCTAACATCGCCACACCTACGCCAGTTGGCTGTAACTTTAAGCACGTCATACACGCCTTTTCTGCAGCTGCTGGCTGGCCGACCAGCAATCGGCATTCTGCTAGCAAGTACCACAAAGTCGCATTCGAAGGCTCAATTCCTGCTGCACGTGAGAGCTCTAAAATAGCAGCCATGTACTCTCTCTGCTTCATGTACAATTTTCCAGTTCGAATAGCTCGTGACACGGCTGCATGCGCTTTTTCATATCGAGCAATACGCACTTTAGCTCTTTGCAACCCCCTTTGGGCCTTTTGTGATCGTTTCACGGCTTCGTTGTACATATCCAGTAAATCCACAATCTCCTTTTGATACTGGAGTACAGTAACTTCTAGCTCCGTGATGTGACTGATCATCTTTTGATCTCTTGAAGTCAATTGATATTTTGTAGCTGTAAAACCCTTAGTAATTGCCTCTAAACTGGCTGCGTCAATCCCTGCAATCGCTTTCTTCTTCGCCCGAAGCTTAGCGGCCGAGCTTTCATTCTCACGATCAGACGCGGCACGTGGCCGAGTAACATCCTCGTCGTCATTGTTCCTATCACTTGATGATTTATTGCCGTGAAATACAGGCCGCGTTTGCTCAAATCCGTCATACTCTGAGATCGACATAGTGAAACTGTTCTGAGATGAGCGTTTGTTACCATCACCCGTCCTGTCCTGCTCTCGTAGAATCTCGCTGCTGTCGCGAAAACTATCATTACCAGTCTTGATCTTTCGAAATGGTGGTAACATTTTCGGCGTCTCGCCGCGGTCGTTCTTATATTCTTTCGCTTGTGAAATATTATTTCGGCTGCTTTTTCGAGTCGATTCCTCATCATTGCTTTCTTCGATCGTTAGCTGGAATTTAGATCTTTGCGTGAGCGTTGGCTTTGGTTTTAAATATTTTTGCGTAATCAACGACATGTCGAGACTCTTGACACTGCTGGAAGACGCGCTAAAGTCTAGATGTTCTTTCTTCTCCTTTGACTCACGTTTAATAACCTTCGATTTTGGCCGGAGCACCGCATTTTTCTTTACCTCAGCATCGTTGCGTGCTTTACCTCTCGAGTCTTCGAGATCAGAACCTGCCAGGCTGAAAATGGAAAAGGCTGAATCGGCAAATGCATTTGACTGTTCTTCCTCGTCCATTCGGCGCCTCGACCTCCTGTCTTTAAGCGGCCTTCTCTCCTTGTTTGAAAGCAAAGCAGCGCTTAAGGTTGTTGAAGCAGTGCGGCAAGTGGATGACGTTTCTCCACGCACTTTGCCGGCTCCTCTCGTTGGGTCCGGACTACGGTCAGGTTTTCGGCTCCTACCTCGTTCAGTCGATGGCATCCGGCGCTGTAAGTTCTGTCTGGACAAATCACGAGAGAGCTGTTCACGTGGAACATCATCAAATAAATCCCTCTCATGTAAAGCTTTACCACGTCGTTCTCTATCACGGGGATCTCGATCTCGAGCATCTCTTGCGCGAAGATCTCGATCACGTGGAACTCCAAGTCGTCGCTCTTTGTCACGTGGATCCCGCATACGTCGTTCTCTCTCTCGTAAATCTCGGTCAAGAATATCTTTGGTACGTCGGTTTTTTTCGCGAGGTTCATTGTGTCTTCGTTCTTTATCCCGTAGATCATATAAACCGTTCCTAGAATTCATGTTGCCTTCCCGAGCAGACCGATCACGTAATATTTTTCCACGTGACGATAATACTTCGGGTAAACCTCGAGTTTGCGGCAATCTCACCGATTGCGGAGACTTAGCTCGAGGAGATCTCATACGTCGATTGCGCGCCGGATCTGTAGTTTGAGGCTCTAAATTTCGCCTTTCTTTCCGTCTTGGCTCCTCATCTTCACTGCCTCCATGCTGCTTCCTACCATCTCGTCTAGATTCCTCCACTTTAATACTCACGTCATCGCCAAGGCCTCGCGATCGTTGGCTTTTGTCCCGTATGTCCTTTGTCTCGCCCGTATATTGTCGCTGTTTATTACCAGGCAAATCGCGACTAGGCGGAGGCCCAAGACCTTTGGCCATTCGAAGGCATGTAGGATAACACTTATCACATACTCGCTGTGGTGACTTTGACTGAAACGATGGCACCAGGAGTTTGTTTCGTGAGTGTTTACCGCAAACTGAGAGTCCACAGTGACGACAATGATGCCGTGTTGTCATAAATGAAAATTCGACGTTGCAGATACCACATCGGTCCTCAACCTGCCAAAGCGGAAGCATGGCGCTATTCCCGCGTGGGGCGACCTGCTGTGACGCCTGCGGTTGTGGCATGCGTTGTGTGCACGAGTCAATTCACGTGGCAAATTAATCGTCTACTTGTTGAACTTCTGTCCCTGTTTCTATTCCTCACTCTGCTCCAATTTAACGTCCGTCGCCACGTCCGATTGTTTCTACTAGCAGTAGAGTGAAAAAATCACCACCTTCTACCCTGCGAAGCAAAAACCTTGTCGAGTGACGAATCGTCGGTGCTGTATGTACAGGCAGTACAGTTTGCGGACCCTCGACATTGGGCAAAAAGACAGGCGGGGGAGAGCTTAACGAAGATGCGCAGCGACTGGGTGCCTTAAAATGTAGGGCGAGAGCATCACATGTTTCGAACATATAAACGCGGCTACTTGTGTCACTAAACTTTATCCTCACAAAGCTATAAAATTTGGAAGATCGAAGTCTTTCGTCGCGAAATCACAATTTACCTGTCACATTTGATTATGGTCCGACATGAATTGGACAAAAGGTTGAGGCGCTCACATATTTTTCGCTTCAACGGATTAAGTAATCCTTAAAAGTGTTTAATGTGATGACTGAAAGCATAGCTCTGTGTTATATGTCGTTTGTGATTTCGACAAAAGCATCATTAACGAAAAAGTAGCTTTCAGTATAACGTGCTTTCCGTTGGCCCTCACCAAATGTTCTGTGATATTTGCTGGATGCTCAAACACTTTTTTTATTCTGCTTATTTGTGTAGCAAGTTGGTACCGATGCTCTAAGAAAAGTACATACCGGGAAATTAAATACTGCAGTAGATTTGAGCCTTCAGTAAACTGGTACATGTGGAATACGTGTTTTCGCCTATACTCATTAACAAATCAGGCCTTAAAACCGAGGCGAGACAAAATTCCGACACACCCCAACACTAAGAGCTGCTTTGACTCTTGACCATCCAGAAAACCATTGACGTGCTCATCATCTCGTCACAGTTGTACTGCGATACGTGGATCTCTCCCTATAAAGATTGTAGCTCTATTAGACATCAGATCGACAAATACAATTTTCATACGATTCAGATGTCAGATAAAAGCGGAGCTTTTATTATGCGCTGAAATTTGTAGCGAAAAGTATCAGCGGTGACCAATTTTGGAACGATGATGACAGCGCTATGCATGCCTAATCTTTGACTTACGGTGAAATAGGCTACGTGACTTCTCCGCAAAATTGATGGTGTCAGCACCATCAATTGTACTCTTTATACTGGGTTGTCCAAAGATGAGAGTTTTTCAAGTCACAAGCGTCGTATCCGTGACGCCGACACAGCTCGTTGTTGTTTGCTCGATTGAAACAGCACTGCTAAAATATACGTTTGCGGTGGGGGTCTTGTGCAATAGTCACAGCTTAGTTAATCCACTAAATGTCGATTGCTGTATACAGCTGCTTTACAAGTATCGAGGCATTGCTTCAACAACAGCGGCATTTTACACAAAAAGACGTTCAAGCCAAGCATTTTTATCACATTAGTGTGATTTAAAGTTAACGAGACCAACACTTTAATACCTTTTTGTGCCTACATCAATTCAAGGCACACAATTTTTGTGAGTACTGATTTTTTTTTATTCAGGTAGCGGCTAAGCCAACTGGAATTTCAGTTGATTCATATCGCCCCATCTGAGATGGAGATGGGATACAAACAGGCGTGGCTATCGCGTGGCCGATTAAAGCGGCTGAATCCCAAGCAAACTCCGTACATTTAGCTTATTGCAACCAGATTACAACCCTAGAAAATGGTTCATCTTACGTTAGGGTTCGTGGCTCTATACCTTGAAGACGGCGGGCAGCCGATGCTACTCCACAAGACTTTGACATAAGACGGTCGGTACATTGACCTCTTTTACCTAAAAGAAACAACATCATTGCTGGGTTTTTTCATTGTGATCAGCAGTCCCTGCCAACTAGACAGTCAAGCAAACTGTCAATCAGCAAATACATTTATCGTTAGTTGTCTGTCTGTCTGCTCTGTTGTCGAAAGATTCGCTGCTAACCACGAGGCTCACCGCTATCGATAGCATATTATCAGACATTTTTATCATAGATCGATGGCCTAATTAAAGACGGACTAAGATCAAGTTGTTAGCAATTTTTATGTTCGATATATGTACTCCTCTACATTTTCTTACAGAACTTGCACGCGTCTTCTCTTGTCGCTCGCTAGCCACTGTTACAGTATCAAATCATCCAACTTTTCGCCGTCTGCCAACAATCGTAAAGAGCATAGTACAAATCTGGGACATCATTCATCATCACCAGGGCTGGCTCTCATGATGCCACGATGTCCAGTCCGACGTTAAATTGCCATTTGTGGCGCCTAGGCTTCGCTGCTCGTGTATGCTTCTCATTTTTTGTGCATCCTGAAATCTGCAGCATCCGGTTGCCCCCCCTCTTCAAACCGATCAGCTGGCATGTGTGATGGAGCCAATTGTACCTAAGATGCCCCGCCAGTCAGATGTGAGGTACACAGCACAGGTTAATCGCCCCTACACATATTTCCTCTTACTATGTCATTGGCTCATGTGCTTGTTGCCCTGGTGAGGTGGTGTTTGAGCATTCACAGTGCACCGTATGAATCTATGCGAACGCCCACTGGTGAACAATTTCAAAATGCTCGAGTGCCAAGCAATTCATACGAACAGTGGATGTTGTAAGCGGTAGCAGACATTTTAGCGAAAAACCGCGACGTTTTATTTTCCATCTTCAAAAATTACCGAAAACTGGGTTAGCTGTCAGCATAGTCTCGCCGAACAGTCATAAATTTCTATTGAGCTCATCAGTTGTAGTGAATATAATTATTGACGCAGTCGACAACACCAATTGATAACTCACAACGTTTAAAGCAATTTCCAGATGACTGCTGGCTTCAGTATGGATCACAATGCACAGCCTTTATCCGCAGCTGTTGAATATCATGTATTTCGGTGACATTTCCGAATGAAATTGCCCAATGGTTTTTTCATTAAGAACTTCCAGCCACAGTATATATCGCCCCAATAATAAAGGCTGCCAATTGCCAATACTTATATCTCGATAGAAGGAATAGTGATATGGTATGTCAAAGTATCAGCGCCCAGGCATTGTCATGGTCTTCCAAGGATTTGGACCGCCAGAAACGATATTTTTCAACTTACAGAGACATCTCGATGAAGCTTTATTTTTTTGGGGTTCTTGACAGTGTGGTTTAATAATCTGCTGACCAAATCGTTAGAAATCGACTTTAAACATGAAGTTTTTGAGGTGTGAATTATGCTACACTATGCGCAGATTATGACATTGCATGTAGAGCAACATTAATAGTTTTTACTTCCGCAAAAATCTTGACATTAACATTGTATGTGCATCATCTAGCAAATTTAGCGATTGTGCGGAATGAGCTCACGTGTATCAATGCATGGAGGCTTGTGAAACACGATATAATACCCAGACTAAGCAGCTAATTTCTTCGTCAACATCCTTTAGAGGATCTAACATTAAAAGAAAATCGATTTGAAAGAGCGTCAAAGTACCATGCTCCTCTGACAATGTTCTTTATACACAATATTCCCAATGACCACATTAGTTTCGAATTTGGCAGGTAAAGCGGAAATCATAAAAGGTGCACTTCAAATACCTTGTTTGTAAGAGCGTGAGCGCCCTCGTGGTGGTCTCGTTATATTTAAAGCCCACACTATGGCTCCATGCTACTGCTGCCATGCTACCAAGTTGGCTAAGAGGCATCTTAATCGTCCTAAAGACCGGCACGCGAGATGACGCATGACAATTTGACCTCCGGTGGTTCGTCTGACCTGCGCTCGTCAAGAATGAGGTTGCGTGTCTATAATGACAACCCAGCAGACGGTACGTTATCTTTGTTCAGCTGCCACGCTGTAAACTTCTCGACATTATCGCCCCGCTCTCCTGACTGTTCCTTTTCCATGCTTAAGGTTGGTTCATAGTAACTATGAGTTTATTTATGTAGGATGACGAAACTACCATATATTTATGCACTTGAAGAGGGTTGACCAATGATATAGCATCCCTTACAGCTGAAGGTGGAATACCTGTATACCATACGATCTGTATTCATCACTTGAGGAGGGATGAGACCGGAGCTCAAAAATCGTTTGAACTGTACAAGCTTTATTTACATATGTAGTGAAGGTGCCGAGGTTTTAACTAAGGACGAAAGACAGACAGAAAAGCAGTGAACTCATATTTCAAGTAAAGATCGTCTTCGCACAAACAAACAAGAAGCGCATTTTATGTCAGTTTCCAAATTGATTATTCCGGAACGCACAGATGTCTTCAAGTTCATGATCATTTTTCGTTCCCAGATGGAAGGAAGATGCGTCCTTTGAAAAAAATCGTGAAGCACGAGATCAAACATCGTCGCTACTTTGTACTTCCGTTAGTATTGCGTCATCAAACAATTTATTTGCCACAATCTCGCCCTCAGTATCGGCACATTCGGCAAAGATTGCGCTACTTCGGCAGATGTTGTGTTGTACGACAAAAGGGAGTAAGGCCAAATGGCAGCAAGATGTCAAACTCAGCATAAAAAAATCAAAACGCTACTCAGCCTTTCGATAAAACGTTGTACCTGTTCCTTGGTAACGTGTCACCAGCATATTTCTTACGGTTAAGCTTTAGTCATTCACAAAATATCCTGCAAAGCATTACAATAATATCGAACTGAACTTCTAGGGTGAATTGCCAGTGACTTATGAGATAAGATATTGATTGAGCCTTGTACACCGATATTCAATGAATACAAATGACTACAGGATGCCAGGACCAAATGTGCCGTATCCGTGCTGGAATCGCCTATGAAAAGACAGAAAGAACGCCCACTTTTCTTTTTTGCTGAACGATACAACATATGATTTTAAATTCGCTTGTCTTATTGCTAGGCTTTGTTATGCTGTGTGCGATCAATGCACTTCAGTATAAAGAGAGCACCAGATGTAGTGTAGGGGGGTAACAGTGCTCATTACATTGGTGCGAGTTACTTGGATGAAGTAAGACATGCTCAGATTATATAAAAAGCATGAAAACAAATTCTTTTAACTAAATACAATTTATCTTTCATGGCATTATTAGTGCGAGCGACATTTTTTCTAATGTTATTGTAACGTACAGGGCACACCATTACAGTTTTCGTATATTATCCTTATAATCTATATTCTACACCTCTCGTATTTTACAAAACCCACAAGCATAAATCTTTTCTTTTTTTTTTTCACCTTCCGTTTTGTCAGAACGTATCTGCGTGCGATAATAGCATACTGCACATTATAAACGCAATCTATCAATTATCGAGAAGCTCATGTAAAAAATCTTATTAGGCATTAAAATCCATAAAGCTTAAAAATTTTGACATTAGCATCTTATCACAATACAAACCTCAAGTCATTACATCCCATAGTTAGCTTTGTGCTTAGCACATGGATTACGTTTGTTAGAAATGAATTCTAACATCGTGTCGATTTAACGACACTCAGCAAGAAATATTAAGACGAAGGATAGATTGACGTCGAAGCACATTTTATGACAGTCATACTGACATTTCGTGATAACGTAGGTGGATTATATTATAAAAACCAGAGATTCCGAAGCGCAAAGCTACAGACTGATGAAATGATGGAGATAAGCACTAGTTGACAGACAACTAACACCTGTTATTTATATATTAAGAGATTTGCGTATCGTGACATGATTACTATCGTGTGTAAATGCTCCTACCGCCACGAAGCTCGAGCTGTCTTACCTTTGCCAAACCCATCTAATGCTGATGTGCGTCTTGCACCACGTAATAAAGATGCATCCAAGTCAATACCACTTGTGTAATCCAAAGATGAATGCAAGCGGTGCGACTTGATAGGGTCGATCGTCACTCGACCAATGCCGTTCAAGTCAACTCTTTTTCTTTGAGAAAAATCCTTTGTCTCGACGTCAGTGCGAATACGTGGTGGTGCCGTTCGAGGGCGTATTGGTGTAGTTTTTCGAAGCTGATCGGCAGCAAAAAATCGAACTGAACCAGTCGGAACAGACCTTCGACCAGCCGCTGAGGAAGCAGGCGGTGCGAAATCGACGCTGTTGAACACACGCCCTCCTGAAGCAAGATTTCGAGAGCCCACAGTTGTAATCCTTTTGCCCGACTTTTTCGTCACACCTTTTAAAGTAGCACTCGGCGGTTTGGTATTCAACACGTTGCCAAAACTATTATTGCGACCTTTTCCAGGAAGAGATACATGCTTTGTTGAAAGCGAAGCTCTGGGAAGATTGCTTGACAGTCGTCGCGGGTGAGATTTAGTCGGTGCAAGGGTTTCGCGATTTTTAGCAGCATATCCTGGCACAAAGTCAAACTCCTCGCTGGTTGTTGATGGGCATGTCGATGCCTCATCGTCATGTATCTCGATTTTCTTCGGTGCTGAAAACGAATAAAGACGTTTATTGCTGTGCAATACTGGTACATCAGCAATTTCCAAAAGTCCCACGTCTACCTCAGGCCCACATTGGTCAGAATCTACGCTCGATGGAGCTGTATCAAGCTTGCCACGACTAGATAGATCAGCAAAGGCAAGTCGTGCAGTATGCAGATTACTACCTTCTGAAGTAGTTATCTATAAGATGGAACGATAACGAGATCATCAGTAAACAACTGAGTCTCGTATATGTATTGGTTCCCACCTTATTGCTTATGATGTGAGCAAAATGTGGTGAAGGGTCAAACAAGTCTACCCACCCGTTAGCCTGAAATCGAAAGGAGATCTGTTTAAATTTGCCAATCGAAATTTGGTCGATTTACTTACTGGAACCATTTCATTGTACGACGAGTTGGGGGGACGCTCAAGCACTGAAGGGCTTGACTTACGCTAGGTATAGCTCAACATACATAAAGAAATTTTGCACAAAATTACATTGATACGCTTTCGTACCAACTCAGACGTTTGATCAATCCAAGTCAATCGACGCTCGCGGCGGTGTTTGCTTGTATCACGTCGTCGCGTCTCCAAGGCACCAATGTCATTAGGTTTAGAAGAAGAATTTAGAAACGTGTGAATTAGCACAATCTCATCTAACTTTGAATCAGCAGACAGAGTTAGCCACTCGTATAGCTGACTGTCCGTCGCACGAGCTGGACGATCTTCTTTAATTTGTGCCTCCAGGCCGCAAAGTTGATCAATGTAGGATTTATGCAGTTTCACATCCGAGCGCTTGGTCATCACAAACTCGTGTGCTTTGTCTAAACCCCAGCAATATTTCACCATTAAGTATCCAATCATGATACTTGGACTTCGGTTAAACCCATTTGGAGAATGCACCAGCACGCTTTCAGTATTGTCCAGAGCTCGATCAATTAATTGAATTATGTGCCCAAACTCGCGGTTCTTGAGGTCGAAAAAAGGTCGATGTAGTGTCTCCTCTAAGTCGCAAGCCGTGTACGACAGGCCAAGGCTTTGTTGAAATATGTTTGGCATTTGGCGGGGCACGCAATTGACAATATGCATTATTCCATTAAGCTGCAGAAAATCGGCGTCTTGGGCCGCGTCAATGTCCCCCATGAAAAGCCCATCCTTAATTTTAGACGACATACCGTTCTTCGAATTCTTTGCTTTGCTTGCACGAACAACGATGTGGTAGAACGACGCTCAAGGTCTTAAGAGTAACCCAGAATATATAAAGCGATCAAAAGCGAATATATTAATAGCAATGTCCTGACCCAATGCTCAAAGATAGGATTGGAGTAGCGTTTGGTCCGCTTCGGAAAAGTTGCAATTGATGCAAAACTGGACTTCGACCACTTCAGCAAACCCTTCGTCTACCTGCCGTACTCAGTACATCGACAGCGAAAGAGTCAAAAGCTTGTCTACGATATACATAATTTGGCTTTACCGTCGGTGCGACGAAATTTTTGTAAAATCCATGGATGGCAACAGGGGGGATATTTTTTTGCTTCTTAAGTGCTCGAAACGTGTTGAGATGCATTGAGATTGGTTTGCCAACGTCCATTACAAAACATCTTATTGGAATATTCTAATCGACAATGAATTACACAAGATATTCAAGAGATAAACAAATTATTGGAAATATTGTGATGCACCTTTTTCTGAGCGATGGCAATCCATTCTTTTCTTGTCCATGGGTCTCGATTCGTGTTGTCAATGACCACGCTATTCTTTTTTTCAAGTGCTTCAAGACATTTCGTTTTGCAATTTGCAACTGAACGGAGTTCATCTTGGCTTACAGCGACGTAAGTGTCCAAATACTGCTTTGCAAAAAATGATTTTCCTGAAGCTTGTGGACCCACAAGAACAATTATTTCCTGATCGCGTTTTGCAACTTGCGCTGAACTTGGGCTAAACACTGGATCTGAGTCGACAGAGACAACGCGGTCAGTTTGACAATACCAGAAAAAACATACAGCAATTATTTACAGTCAGACTTGGCGATTGATTTTGGGTCGAAGCCAAGCTCCCATGTATCAGGATTTGTGTGTATTCGCTGCTTGGAAGCCAAAAATAAGGCCTCGGGCGTAAAAAAGCGAATACCAGCGTTTAGTGCAAATTTGTAATCCGTCGCAGCAAAGTCTTTTGCTCGTCCACTTACTTTCGGGCGCCCTGCTGCGTCTCCACAATAAAAACTCATTTTCTTGTCAACACTAATTTCACCCTTGGCATTCAATAATTTTATCATTTCCATCCATGCACCCAATCTGGGTTTACGCATAATATCATTCTTCGTGCCTAAAAACGCTAGCATAGGCAATTTCAGTTGCCTGATAATTGTTTCTAATTTTCTCTACGAAGCCAAGCACATCAGACATTGTTTATGACTACGAGAAGCGTCTCTTACCTGCACTTCAGCCGCAGAAACGTGCCCTTTTGCAACGCCATTCTGGTTCGAGAAGATGATTAACGTGTATCCATCACGAGCAAGTTCCGCCAGTTTCTCCCTCACAAGTGATGCATGAAACCACTTCCAGTCATCTGTACTTTTGGCAAACTTGTTACCACTTTTGGTGACAATCAACGTCCCGTCGAGATCAAACCCCGCAATTTTGTACGCACTTGCTGGTGCTTCTTGCTGCTGCTTTGAACGAGCATCCAATACGTACAATGAATTCTGTATAGTTCTCCACGGCAGCAAGTTGGATTCTGAAAGCGCTGAAGTACATGCTACAATTGTCTCTTGAGTAGCTGATGAAATCTTGTGTCTCTTTGTCGGAGGTTGAACAATGACTGTAGGCTTCGAAAAAAAGCGGTAAACTGCAGTGTCAAGACGCCGATTTTCATTTACGCTGTCTTCGACCCAGTTTGCGCGTACGATTTCAGCTTTCGGGAAGTGCTTGGTCAATTGTTCGAGCATCTTATTCTCAGGTGGTGATGACAACAGCACCACCGTGACAAGGTCGCTAAACTGCTTGGAGTTGTCAAAAACAACACCTCCGTGATCCTTTGCAAGTGAGATTGTTTTTGAAATAGACTTGTTGTCGTCTGGAATAACCAATAAATCCTGCGCGAACAGTTGACGCTGAAGGAACCTGTTCATACTTTTGGTCACAAATTATCTGTCTTGTCAAGAAAAATGACGTTAATTATTATGACGAAAATTTATTTATTCATGAGCAATTCAATGCTTTCACCTCGTATTTTTCGCACATGGATACATCCGTACAATATACAAGCTTACCAATGGCTGAAGATAAAACTGCAGATCAACCCAATCTGCTGCATTGTTTATTGTAAAAAGTTGAATAAAATGTCGCCAAAAATGTATCCTGCTTCATCTACAACACGACTTCGACAGTTCTCAGTTCACCCGGCTTCAGTTATTAAAAATACACTCTTGTCCTCAGCTGTGTCTGAATGGACAGGTGCTACGTACAACAAAGTTGTTGTGCATCTTGCACAGAGAAAGCTTTAACTCGACAAGTCCGTGTTCACTTAAGTTCGTACACTCCATCCAGGAGCGAAGCTTCGACCCTTTTGCGTATTTGAGTACTTAGTTTACTTTTCAAGAGTGATATACATACCTTGCAGTTAAATTCTTTCAGAATTGTACTAGTTGATATGCTTTTAGTAATGCAATAGTAAAGTTAGACATACTGCCCGATGTGATGCTTACAGTACGTGTGCTACGGACCTCTTTATCCCATCACCCTCATCAGTAACAAAACGTTTTTTCCTCTGGGCTGTGCACAATAGCACAAAAGTGAAATGTGTAAATACACAATAAGGCATTCGTACCCCGTCACACCCCACTACGATGTGGACCGCACTGAGACGTTGAATTATCAACGTGCACCTACTACGCACCCTTCCACGATCCAGTGATTGCTTATTCGAGCTGACTCACACCAAGGGCCCTCTCCTTAACAAATGGCCCAACGTGCCCAGAAAAAATTATGGTTCATGACGACCTCAAGTTCGTTCGCGTGAGCAAGCCGAGGTGTTCTCTGACAAGAATGATTTTAATGACTCTTTGCGGACCCGTCAACTATGTCCTTTCTGAAAGCTATATGACTAAGCTAGTTAGTGAACAAGAGGCGCCCTCTAAGTCCTTTTATTCTTTGTATAAATCACGCACTCCATGCCCGCCCACTCTGACGTAAATTATTATGTCATATCGCCGCGAAATTTAGCAATAACACCGGCTGGACATGGTTCAGAAAGCAAGCGTGAAGTCGCAACGAATCTGGCCAATCCACAATTAACGTGATTATGGATCTAAACATCTGATGATTTCAGGCCGGTAGGCATACGCGTACGGGCCTTCGTACAAACAGAGATGGAAAAGAGCGGTATATGACCCCACAGGTCACCCATCAGTCCTCAAATATACGGTCTATCCTTAAAGTGACATGCAGTGGGGCTGCCGTAGCTCTTTCGCATAGAAAAAGATTAGTAAGAGTCAGTAACCTTTGTTCTATACTTAGAACCAGTCCGAGTGTAGCGGGTCGCAATGCGCTTACTCCAAGAGTAATCACGACCTTTATTTAAGGCCAGTTAACTTTTCCTTCTATGTATTTTCAGTTCTATCTGCGTCAAAGCCGCCTATATCTAAATTATAGGGTTTCCTATCTATATAGAAAACTTTAATCAAATGTATAAGTACTGGCTGTTCCAGCCACGTACTGACATGTTGTTAAAGTGTAGCCACACCATTGTGTAGTTACATCAGCTTGTCCAAATCATTGTGTGATCACACTATCTTGTGTGACCCCGTTGCGTGGAAACGGTCAAGTAAAATTCGTAACCTCTACAGCGGGGCTAACGTAGCTGTTTGCTTAGAGGAAGCCAAGCTAAAGTCACCAACCTAACGCTCTTTCCAAGAAACAGTACGACGGTAGCGGAACACAATCCGCTACATCCAAGTACTCAAAACTTGCACCAAGGCAAACGGACACTTCTGTTCAAAGCTGAAATTGTATCTAATTGGTTTAGTTGCGGCAGGGCTGCCAATATCTAAAACCCTAGATATTCCTAATTTATATAGTGATACCTAATTAATGTAGTAGAATTTAATTAATATAATAATATGCATTACTACTGGCAATCCTGCCACGTGGTGGCTTCTTGTTACGGTGTAGCCACACCACTGTGTGATTACACTAACTTGAGTAATACATACCAATGTACGGTCGCACCATCTTGTGCAACCCACCCTTTGATATAAGAGTATGTGTAGCTCTGTTACACTCTCCCCCATTAAACATTGTGAATATCCTCGATTCACATTTAACAGTCGCCTCATACGAAGCTCGCGTGTTTGAGACACCTTCACGCTCTTTATGAACATTTTCCGCTCTACCTGTGACTAAGACACGCAAAACACCAAGCCTAGCTGGTTCCAAGGGCGCCCGCGAGCAAAAACCTTCTTCGTTTCTACGCCGGGTGCATCTCCGGACAGTACGTCCGCGGCTTCAGGGGAAGCACATCCCAAGCCCTCGGCGACCCGAGTGCAACACACCGCGCTCGCCACGGGCGACGGATTTCCTCTTCGATGGGTTGGAGGAATTCGAATAAGAGTCGGATACTTCTTTCCCAGCATGGGAAGACGAGGAAGCTGAAGTGCGCCAACGGCGCGACGCGCGTTCTTTTGCACCGGATCCCGATTCGGCTTAAGCAAGCGCACAGAGAATACCGACTGGGTGCGCATTCCTTTGCACCGGATCCCGATTTGGCTTAAGCAAGCGCATATAGAATACCGACAGGGTGCGTGTCCTTCAAAGAAGGTTCAGCGTATACGCAAGACCTCGCTTTGCCACGATCTTAAGAGGTTCAATAAACCGTGGACGGAGCTTCGTCTTAATGACAGCAGAAATTGCAATTGTAGGAAGGCTTTAAGCATTTAAAAAACCAGGTCTCCGACTTCAATGTCTCAACGTTTCTTCTTCCTCTTCCGTTTGCATATTTCTTCTGCATGTCTTGGTTTTCAATCGTCGCATCCCGATCGTGTCGTAAGTCACTTAGTCTTATCGACATATTTTATCGACTTCTTTACGCACGATTAGGGGGCTGACATCAACTAGCTGCTCGGCTATTCCCCCCCCGAAGCCCTGAGCCACGGGATGGTGGTGTCAGCGAGGATTCACAAGCCCGCTCGCGTAGAACGGCGTGTAGCCCGTAGATAAATGCACTGCATTGGTCAAAGCAAACTCTACGAGTGGTAACATAGCAGTGCATCGGCGTCTTAGCGCAGACGCTGCGAAGAACGTCTCCAACGACGCGATTCACGCACTCAGTCTGCCTATCGGTCTGTGGATGGTCCGCTATTGGCATAGTCAACTTGGTGTCCATCACCCTACAGAGTGTAGACCAAAACTTCCCGGTGAAGCGCGGGTGTTTATCAAAGACAATTGACTCCGGGAGTCCATGCTGTTGAAAGACACGATCGGCAAACAGCGTCGCTGTACCCACACCGTCGATGGTGTCGGGCACATAGACAACCACGCCAGGCAGACCAAAAGCGAAGTCCATACTCATGGACTGCCGACATCCGAAGGGTAGGTAAACTGACCAGTGGCGCCGCTCTCTGACACTCTCACACGTGCGCACATAAGTTCTCGTCCACTTGTACAGCTTAAGCCACCAACAGTGACAACTCACCGAGCTGTATGTCCTCTCACAACCGAGATGACCACTGAGTGGGGAGTCGTGAACCTCATTACGATACAATGTTTCAAACCATTATCTCGAGGAGCCACAATTTGTGACGTATCCGCTGAATTGGTTCTCTAACACAGCAACCCGTTATTCAACGAAAATCGGTGTACTCGCGCGCGCAAACACAGTGACAATTTGTTGTCCGAATTTCCAAGCTCCTGGAGGACACTAAAAGGGTGCTGAACGTACGAAGTGAATCATCGATCACGAAGAATCCTTTGGATCCGTATTATCCTTTTGGTAAAGAAATTACAAGACGTCGTCTCCGAAGACTCGCCGTTGGTCGTACCTCCGGACCGATGGGTACGTCATGACATTGACCTGATTCCGGGAACCAAATACTGCGTAACTCGCCAATAGCCCCTGCCCAAGGAACAGTGTGATGTCATTGACGCCTTTTTTCGTGCAAAGCACGAGACACGAATAGTGCGTGAGAGCATATCTTCCCATTCGACACCCACGTTTTGTGGCCGGAAGCCGAACGGCAAGTAACGTATCGTTCACGCTAACAATAAACTCAAAGTTGTCATCATTCCGGCACAGACGCCAATTGTAAGACAGAATGTTCTCCACTCCAGAACAATATGGTTGGCTGTACAAGTACAGCGCACTTGACTTGGTCGATGGTTATTACCAATTACTGATGAGAGCTGGTGATATTTTGCTGAGAGCGGTGAATACTTTGAGCGGGATGCCCCGGAAGTGGCTGGTGATGCCCGAAAGGTTATCAAGTGCACCAGCAATATTTACCCGTCTTGTGACGCAGTTGTGCAGTTCCATCGGGCGTATGCACAGGCATACTTTTACGACACCTTCATCCACAGTCGCGAAGGAACAGATGAGCGTCTATCTGAGAGCGGTGCATGATTGCATACGCACGAATAAGCTGTAAGCTTGTGCCGATGAGTGCATCTTCGGCGCCATACAAAAACTTTCAGAATGCTTTATTGGGAAGCATGGCTTTGAGCGGATCCCGCTATGGTCAAGGCCATTGTAGACTGACCGGTTCCAAAGAATCAGAAGGAATTGCTCAGATAGCTTGGCCTCGCCAACTACTTGCACAATTATAGCGCAAATTATGCGGAAATGGCACGGCAATTGCCCTATCTCCTTTGGAAGGTTACGAAATGGTATTTGGACACCTAGAATCGGGAGGATTTTAACAGGGTCAAAGACAGCCTCCTTCATGCACCAACACAGGCGTTGCCAGACCACGATTGTCCTTTTTGTTTAGTCTGTGACGCTTCAGACTTTGCCATCGGCTGTGCTCTACTACAATTAGACGCCGAGGGGCAAGATTGGGTGATCGCGTTTAATTATTGCCATCTTAAGGCTGCGAAGAAGAGCTACCCAGTCCACGTCAAAGAATCACTTGCATTGAGTATGCACTTGTCAAGTTCAGGGTGCACCTGCTTTGCTCAAAGCCGTTTGTGATCTACACAGATCATGCCTCATTACGTAATACGACTCAGTCGCTACACCTCTCGCAAAAGAT